ATCAGCACTCCTACTCTGACACTTTATGAATATGGGCCCTGTAGTGTGATACATTGGGGTAGAATAATAAAAGGAATCTTACCTCCCCAGCAAAGAACACTTTTCCTTGGACATCTTCAGCGATGATGTTATAGGCCTCCCTGCTGCCTCCAGTCTTCACAAAGCTGTATGACATCTGAGACCACAAGTCTCTGCTCCACCACGTCACAAAGTACCTCACTGGCTCTGGGAACTCCTAGCCAAGACAATGAAAAAGACGTGAGGATAAGATACAACATAATACAAAAAAGTTACATATTGCAGCTTTAACCTTTATTTATCCAGGAAGTCCCATTGAGGTTAGGATACCTCTTTTACAAGGGAGACCTTGAATATCTTGAACATCTCATGTGTAGTAATGTAATCTGTGTAGTAATGTAATATGTGTAGTAATGTAGTAGTGTTATATGTGTAGGAATGTAATCCGTGTAGTAATGTAATCAGTGTAATAATGTAATCTGTGTAGTAATGTAATCTGTATAGTACTGTAATCTGTATAGTACTGTAGTAATGTAATGGGTGTAGTAACTAACGCAATCTGTGTAGTAATTAACGTAATCTGTGTAGTAACTAACGTAATCTGTGTAGTAATATAATCTGTGTAGTAACTAACGTAATCTGTGTAGTAATGTAATGTAATCTGTGTAGTAATGTAATCTGTATAGTAATGTCATCTGTGTAGAAATGTCATCTGTGTAGTAATGTCATCTGTGCAATATTCTCTTCATAGTAGAGGGTTATTCCATTACCTGCTCCTTGAAGAGTTCACGCAGGACCTTCATGCACTGACAGGCAACATCTTTGTGGCCAAAGTAGTCTGTCCCAAAAGCGGTACGGGAACGGCAGAGCAACCTGAGGAATAGGTGTGTCCAGACGCTTCCAAACAAGCTAAACACCTTCTTCGCCCGCTTTGAGGATAGCACAGTGCCACCGACGAGGCCCACTACCAAGGACTGTGGCCTCTCCTTCTCCGTGGCCGACGTGAGTAAGACATTTAAGCATGTTAACCCCCGCAAGGCTGCCGGCCCAGACGGCATCCCTAGCCGAGTCCTCAGAGCATGCGCAGACCAGCTGGCTGGTGTGTTTACGGACATATTAAATATTTCCCTTTCCCAGTCTGCTGTTCCCACATGCTTCAAGATGGCCACCATTGTTCCTGTACCCAAGAAAGCAAAGGTAACTGAACTAAATGACTATCGCCCCGTAGCACTCACCTCTGTCATCATGAAGTGCTTTGACAGACTAGTCAATGATACACGTGTTTGATTTGATTTGATTTGTAAAGACACCGTTTTTGGTGACAGGATAAACCCGTTTCTTTTAAATCACCCAAAAGATATTGCAGCTCTAAACCCTTCCCTTTTCAATGAGACCTGCTTCAAGACTGTGAATGGCTTTCAACTTTCTCTCAGGAAGTGGAGGGTTGAATGTAATTATATTCTTCTGAAGTAAAGTCAGTGGGACTATCACCAGAACCTAAAAGAAAAATACATTTTAAGACAACTGCAATCATGCAATCCCTTTTATACAAACTGATAGGACGTTAGTTGCTCTGTAACATGACTTATTAAGTGAATGAGTCCTTACATTCTGTGCTGTCCACTGAGTCCCATCGGATGAGGTAACTTTGACGACATCCCTTGAGTAGTCGATAGTTACCACCACCATATTTCTCATACCTGTAATTTCCTTTCAAATCAGTGAAGGGAATTGAACAAGTGCACACGTTGGGAGGAAGGAGAGATAATTGGGACATAGCCATAGTACTTAAGTGGCTCACCGGGCTCTTAATGCGGATGTCGAGGCCCTCGGCAAGTTTGTTAAGCACAGAGGAGTAGCCCTCTGCCATCAGTGTGTGGTCTCCTGAGAACTGGGCAAAGAACTCATTGTGGTCCAAGGATCGAGCCGACCTGCGAACACACACAAACACACGTAAGGACTATGTTCTCATATCTCTCCTACAGTCTCACTACATTGACTATTACAAGAGCCAAGGTAAGAATTATCTCAGCCTCAGACCTGGTCCAGTGTGCTCCAACAGGCATACTCCAGGTTGCTGAGATGGAACTGAAGCACTTTCTCCTCAAACTGGCTGAACTAGATCCCAGACTCCCGAAGGAAGTTCTTGTAGACCTCCTGGATTTTTTGGGAAGGGAAAAATATCAAATTAATAGACCAATTGGAGACTTCTTCTATCACTTTGTAGATGTTAGCAAATCATTGAAAGGGACTCGCCATAATAAGTGTTAACCCATAGACAAATATATTCGCATAATATAATATTTTATTTACATCTCATATACAGAATGTGTAGCACCTCCCAGAGGGGTGTCCTGGTTCTGAGACTTGTCCTTCCTCCACTCTGACACCATATCCAGGATGGCGTTGAAGTCCACGCAGTTGTCGATGGCTGGGTCTGTGGCCCTGCCTCCCTCCTGGAACAGGTCACACCTCTCCCCAAGCTTGTGCATCTTAATGCTCAGCTGTAAAGACGAGCTTGTTAATTTAATGGCCATTTGAGTCCTCTTAACAGTTACACAATACCATGTTCTAAACAGAAGGAGCAGGGAGAGGGAGGCAGCATAATAATAAAAACTGAGATTTGGGAGTTGAACTTTGGTTGAACGATGAGGAATCTTGACATTAAAAAAGGTATTATAGTGAGTGCCAATAGTCAGTGTTGTCAGTGTTGTTACCAATAATTTCTCACCTGCTCGCTCATCAGTGCAATGGGGTTGTTCACACAGCCGTTCACAATCCGAGCCTCCCGACCCACAGTGACACACGCCCAGCGATGTATCGTGCCACACGCCCTCAAATCCACTCCCTCGCCTCCAGCAACACCACCTGTGATTGGGTCAAACACTAGGGAGTCATCATCCCCTGAAGCATTCCCTGTATAATCTGCAAATTCATCATAAAATGTCATTGAATGTGAGGTGACTGCATAGAGGGTGGTGTGGACCTATATGAAAATAGCCTAGGCAGCCAATAGTGGGCGCTAAATCTATATGAAAATAGCCTAGGCAGCCAATAGTGGGCGCTAAATCTGCACTATCGTCTAGTTGATGTGCCCATACGGTAATACACTCATGTCCCCCGTGGAACGTCTCGTACATAAAGCATCCTCCATTCAGGCTGCAAAGGCATACTTTTCCTCCTTAACTAGCTTTAATGACGGGCAGTAAGAAAAAAGTGTGTACCGTCTTAATAAAAACACAATTTTCCACCATAATTTTCGGATTTTCGGCAATTTGGCTGAACGCAGTGTCCAACATCCTAAATTGTCCAAAAATACAAACATGGTGATGGAAAATTTTGTTTTATTAAGACAGTACCTTTATATATACAATGTATGGACAGTACACATATTTTTCCAGTTTTTTTCTGACGGCCCGCCATTAAAGTTAGTTTAGGAGGGAAATGATCCCTTGCAACCTGAATGGAGGATGCTTTATGTACGAGCAGGTCCACGGCGGACACAAGCGTATTACCACAGATAGAACAATGAGAACGATATTTGACCAGATGTATAAATGTGAAGCATCCGCTTATCGTTTCCACTCAATACCAAATATGGTAGTGAGGGGAAGCCCACTGGCTGGCAGTGGAAGAAGATAGAATGAGATGGATTTTGGCCGACATTCTGCAAAGTTTCTCATAGATGAAATATTTGATCTCAATACAGTTTCTGTTCCCCAAACTAAAATAGGTTATGAATAGAGTGGACTACGTTTTGTAGACTTTACCCTTTGCAAAAGTTTTTTTTTAATCGCGTTGTTTAGGAGTGCAAAGGCGAATTGAGTTATTCCACACGCGCACTTCAAAGGAGGCGTTCCCTAATGGAAATATGCAGATGATAATAATATGCCATTTAGCAGACGCTTTTATCCAAAGCGACTTACAGTCATGCGTGCATACATTTTTTGTGTATGGGTGGTCCCGGGGATCGAACCCACTACCTTGGCGTTACAAGCGCCGTGCTCTACCAGCTGAGCTACAGAGGACCACCAATAAGATCTCCCTAGCTCGTGCTTGGCTCTGCCCATCTCCTTGCTTGTTCTGCCCACTATGACTCATTTGTTCCTATTGGACAAGACAGGCTGTGGTCTATCTTGGTTTAGTTATAACAAATCTTTGGTATTACCGGCTGGGTTTATCAATCCTAGATGATACATTTACATAATTTAGCAGACGCTCTTATCCAGAGCGACTTACAGTTAGTGAGCGCATACATCTTCATACTGGCCCCCCGTGGGAATCGAACACACAACTCTGGCGTTGCAAGCGCCATGCTCTTACCAACTGAGCTACAAGGAGGCCAGATAGTGCAGATCTAGCGCCCACTATCGGCTTTCTAGGCTAATATGAAAACACAGGGACATTATAGCACAGACCGAGCAATGAGGTTTAGTTATTAAAATTTTTTTGATTATAGTAATAGAGATTGCCAACATGAAGCTAACCTGCTGCCTAATTGATCATTACTCAGCTTCCCACAACTAACAGATGCGTGCAATTTGGATAGATGCGCACTAACCTGCATCTGTCAGCATTGCTGACTGTGCTCTCTCTCCGATTCAGGGTTTATTCCTTTGTTTGAGACGATTGTAAGAATGACTTGTTATCAATCTGTCTTTGTTGTCGTTATTCTGTCGAGGAAATAAAGGCGAAGTTGTCACCAAAAACCCACTTCCCAGTGTGTCAGAACGGGAAAAGTGGGCGTTTCGAAATGTGGTATCTTCTGTTTGCCGTAGTAGGGAGATAACCATAGTAACGGATACACGCGCAAATAGGTTGGTCCAGAAGCCAACACAGAAGCAGGTGTTTTTGTGAGAGGCATCGACTATAGTTATTTTCTTCCATGTATTTGCGATGTTTGTTATGTCAACTAGCTGAAAACCTTCAGTTGTACACGCGGAACTCTGTAAAGCAGGTATTTTTGCACAAACGCGTTTGCAATGATTGCATCAGAGGCTGCAATGACTAAAAGTTATTTGACAACTTCAACTGGCTCGAAAGCAAAAGTGCATCGAAGAAAACCTGCGATCCCAGTTATCAAACATATAGCAAAAGACAATGATCAAGAGAAACAGCAGGTAAATTATTTCTATTTTTCTACTTTGACATGTTTTAAACTACTTTGTCATGCATTTCAAATAATGGTTAACTTTGTCTTATAAATCTGGATTCATGTGAATTCATCAAATGCATTCATGTGCTTTTTCAGGTTCTCATTAAACCTATTGAACTCAGTCGTGTGATACATTTTCTTGAGGATCCTTTAGCAGTAAGTGATAAATATTGTCAACAAAATCATTAAACTATCAATAGCTAACTAACAAAATCATAAACTAAGTTATTCATCCAATGGAATTTCCAAATGATAATCAAAATTTCTATCTCTGCTTCAGGCTACTTTGAAAGAGAGACATATTTTTGCGTTGAAGAAAGTAGTGAAGAGATGTCAAAAAGGCTTTGTATCCTTCTTACCTGACCTACTTGACTTCAATAAGTTGATTGATTATTTTCTTGTTCAGAACTAATTTTGCCATGGTGTAAACTCTTCTGACTCATATCCCCTAATGATGTTTTGGAAATAGATACGCCTATGTTTTTAGGCATTGTCATGTCCTCAGAGTCCCAAATGTAGACGTCCCTAGATCCCAATTACCAGCAAAAAATTGTTTGGTTCAGCATTTTTCTTGCCCAGAAATAATTATAGTTATGACACATTGCATGTCTCCATGGGGTATTTATAGACACCATTATTTCCATAGTTAGTCTACTTCTTCACATGCTTATTTGTACTTAAAATTAATTTGTCAAGCTTTTGAAAGAGCTGGCTGACGTTTTCAAGATTTTAAATATCTGTGCTGAGAAGTCCAGAGATCACCCTGAATATACTTCAGTGCTATGTGACTTACTGAAGATTTGTAGGTAAGTTGTTGTTGTTGCTTGTTCAATCGGTTGTTCTTGCTTATTCAAACCAAATAAAAGCTTACAGACTGTAACTTGTATTACTTAGGCTTCCCTTTCTAAAGGAAAAGACCTCTGATGAAGTGACCTACGCACAGACTGTCAAAGAATCACTCTCTCAAATGGGTATGTAACACATGCAGTGCTGCTGTGGTCATACAAGCATCTATGGTCATTCAAAGGTGATACCAATTTATTTTATGTCTGCAGGGTTTCTGATGAGGGTGCCAAATGCTGAAGTGAGGAACCAAATCTGCCGCTCTATTGTATCCTTATACAGCTCTGGGACATCAACACACAGTGTGGACGGTGTGGACAGTCTTTCAAAGCTTGCGGCTGCCTCAAAGCCAGCTGATCCCTCTCACAGATTCTCTAAACATTCAATGAGTGAGCCATTTTCAATGATATTGTGGTTATGTTCGTTCTAAGACATTCACCTGTCTGGAATAGCGTACCACTTCACAGAAATATTCACCTTGTTTTCTGTTATAATATCCTATTTTCTGTAGGACTCCACCCTACCAGCCTAGGCTACAGGGTGCAGCTGTTGGAGCAGAGTGGGCTGGCTGAGACTCTGGTCCTGTCCATGGCCCTCCTGGAGAACCAGCCTGCAGTCAAGCTCCAGATCCTGCAGACCCTTCAGATGCTCTCCAGCTCCTCTGGTAAATAACAAATGCAATTCAAACATTAATTGCTATAAAGGACTGGTGAATTAGTTTCTGTATGTGTCCCAAATGGCATAGTCTCAGAAATCCCAGACCTAGGGAAAGTCAGAACATTGGTAATGTGGGAGGCTACCCATCTGCCTAGGGAGACTACAAATGGCACCCTATTCCCTGTATAGTGCACTACCTTTGACCAGAGCCCTTCATCCTTCATCAGAGAAAGTAGCTCTTGAGATAATGTAGCTCTTTAAAGAAGGACCAATCATAGCAGTAACTTACAGTTTACCTCTGTCAATGTCAAGGAGTCATTCTCTATTCATTCCACCTCCTACAGTCACATGTATGTTTTGTACACAGATGTGAACTGTAGCCTAATGTTAAAGGCACAGGGGGCACAGCAGATCTGTTTCCATATGAATGAGCCAGACCCATCAGGACAAGTCCTGTTTCGCTCCTCGGAGATCCTGTGGAACTTGCTGGAGAGAGGTTGCAAAGAGGAGGTTACATCTCAACTCAGCAACATGGACTGTATTATGTATGTGACTTTTACCTACATTTTTAAAGAGCTCATTCACATTCTGCATGAGTGAGTGCAATAAACAGTACTCACATTGAATAAGTGTTTACAACCATATGACAAATTAACTGTGTAATATGTGAAGGGAAAATGAAGTACTATGATTATTATTGTCTCAAACATAGGGTTCTGAAAGAGGCATTTTTGCACCAGCTGTTGAATGGCTTTCGACATTATGACCTCCAACTCAGGAATGATCTACTGGTGATCACAACTCTCATAGCTGAAAACCCTAAATCTCCACTCATTGTAAGCAGAGTGCATTACTAAATCAATGCAATAAGTGAATAACAGGAATGTAATGAATTGTCAATAATCATACCAGACTCCTTAACCACACCTCAAGCATCACGTTATGGATATTTCTTTGTCTTCTCATCAGTGGTTGTCCTCATTTACAGGAGAGTTTATTTGCCAAGCAGCTCATTCTTTTTGTTACATTTCCAGAACGTAAGCCTCTTTTTGCTTCATATATAAATGATGATGTGTTTGTAAGTAGTGATAATTATTTATGCATTATAAAGTAAATCTGTTTCATTTTATCTTCCAAATAAAGTTGGAATGGTCATGAACTATTTTGACATTCTTTTTCTTTGTATCCAAGTCAAGAGTCACAACCCGTTGGTCCGCAACCTCAAGCTATCCTATAACAATGAAGATTTTGAGATGAAAAGGTTGCTACTAAATCTGGTTGTTGTCATGTCAAAAGATTTATCTGCTCTGCAGGTGAGTTAGTATTTTACTTCCATAATGTGAACGATCGATTAGCTGCATTATATAACGTTAGTCTGCCATTGATAGTCTGAAAAACGTGCTCTTATTCCAGAAAGCACACCAGATATACCCTGACATTATGTGGCTGAGCAATGAGGAGAAACTGAAATGTTTTTTTGTGTATTTCCGTTTGTAGAATATTTAGATGAAGCCTGGAATAAAATAAAAAGGGCTACCTATAATTAAATGATATGTGGTAAATGGTACGTGTGTGTATATAGATTGTATAGGCTTGTCTCCCACATGAATCTTCTCTTTGTGCCAGATTGGGTTCAAATGCCTTCTGTTTCATTTTTCTGTATTTATTAATCCGTATACAGTGGGGGGAAAAAGTATTTAGTCAGCCACCAATTGTGCAAGTTCTCCCACTTAAAAAGATGAGAGAGGCCTGTAATTTTCATCATAGGTACACGTCAACTATGACAGACAAAATGAGGGGAAAAAATCCAGAAAATCACATTGTAGGATTTTTAATGAATTTATTTGCAAATTATGGTGGAAAATAAGTATTTGGTCAATAACAAAAGTTTCTCAATACTTTGTTATATACCCTTTGTTGGCAATGACACAGGTCAAACGTTTTCTGTAAGTCTTCACAAGATTTTCACACACTGTTGCTGGTATTTTGGCCCATTCCTCCATGCAGATCTCCTCTAGAGCAGTGATGTTTTGGGGCTGTCGCTGGCAACACGGACTTTCAACTCCCTCCAAAGATTTTCTATGGGGTTGAGATCTGGAGACTGGCTAGGCCACTCCAGGACCTTGAAATGCTTCTTACGAAGCCACTCCTTCGTTGCCCGGGCGGTGTGTTTGGGATCATTGTCATGCTGAAAGACCCAGCCACGTTTCATCTTCAATGCCCTTGCTGATGGAAGGAGGTTTTCACTCAAAATCTCACGATACATGGCCCCATTCATTCTTTCCTTTACACGGATCAGTCGTCCTGGTCCCTTTGCAGAAAAACAGCCCCAAAGCATGATGTTTCCACCCCCATGCTTCACAGTAGGTATGGTGTTCTTTGGATGCAACTCAGCATTCTTTGTCCTCCAAACACGACGAGTTGAGTTTTTACCAAAAAGTTCTATTTTGGTTTCATCTGACCATATGACATTCTCCCAATCCTCTTCTGGATCATCCAAATGCACTCTAGCAAACTTCAGACGGGCCTGGACATGTACTGGCTTAAGCAGGGGGACACGTCTGGCACTGCAGGATTTGAGTCCCTGGCGGCGTAGTGTGTTACTGATGGTAGGCTTTGTTACATTGGTCCCAGCTCTCTGCAGGTCATTCACTAGGTCCCCCCGTGTGGTTCTGGGATTTCTGCTCACCGTTCTTGTGATCATTTTGACCCCACGGGGTGAGATCTTGCGTGGAGCCCCAGATCGAGGGAGATTATCAGTGGTCTTGTATGTCTTCCATTTCCTAATAATTGCTCCCACAGTTGATTTCTTCAAACCAAGCTGCTTACCTATTGCAGATTCTGTCTTCCCAGCCTAGTGCAGGTCTACAATTTTGTTTCTGGTGTCCTTTGACAGCTCTTTGGTCTTGGCCATAGTGGAGTTTGGAGTGTGACTGTTTGAGGTTGTGGACAGGTGTCTTTTATACTGATAACAAGTTCAAACAGGTGCCATTAATACAGGTAACGAGTGGAGGACAGAGGAGCCTCTTAAAGAAGAAGTTACAGGTGTCAGGTGTTGCTGTAGATTGGTGTGGTGTGGAATCAGGCGCAGGACGCAGAAGTTAAGTCCAACAAAGACTTTTAGTAGAGCACACAAAAATACAATCCAAACAGCCCGGAGGCGAGAAAAGCGCACACAGGCGTAAACAAACGAGCGCACAAAACATGTGCGAAAATCCTCTCCTAAAATAAACAAGGAGGAAAGCTACAAATAGCGCACCGAAACGGGTAGCGCAACAACATGACAACGGGAACAATTACACACAACACCTAAACTCACAACAAGGAACTAAATAGGGTGCTTAATGAGACATAACACAAAACAGGTGTGACAAACAGACAAAACCAATCAAACATGAAACATAGAACGGTGGCAGCTAGTACTCCGGAGACGACGACCGCCGAAACCTGCCCGAACAAGGAGGAGGGGCCGCCTCGGCCGAAACCGTGACAACAGGTCTGTGAGAGCCAGAAATCTTGCTTGTTTGTAGGTGACCAAATACTTATTTTCCACCATAATTTGAAAATAAATTCATTAAAAATCCTACAATGTGATTTTCTGGATTTTTTTTCTCAATTTGTCTGTCATAGTTGACGTGTACCTACGATGAACATTACAGGCCTCTCTCATCTTTTGAAGTGGGAGAACTTGCACAATTGTTGGCTGACTAAATACTTTTTTCCCCCACTGTATGTTATGTATGTATGTATGTATGTATATATATATATGTATGTATATATGTATATGTGTATGTGTGTGTGTGTGTGTGTGTGTGTGTGTATATATATATATATATATATATGCGTGTATGTATTTTTTTTTTTTACTGCTCTAGGGATATAAGTATTGTTTGGATAACCTTATTTACTAACTGACGATTTGACACATTTATTTTCTTCATTCATTCATTCATTCTTTCATTCATTCTTTCATTCATTCTTTCATTCATTCCAGAGTACAATGATTAATACTTTCTGACTATTTAGTTTTTAATGCGTTATAAACTGTAACTTCATACATGATGTTTGTGTCTACCAGCTGTTCAAAGAGGGCCATGTTGTCCTGGCCCTGCTCCACCTGGTGAAGCCCACTGCTGCTCCTCCAGAGGGCCAGTCAGGGCCACGCAACTGGACCCCTGTCCAGCAGGAGGAGCTGCAGCTGCAGGCTCTGGCCACTCTGGCCACCGTGGCTCCACTGATGCTGGATGACTACATGACCTGTCAGGGAAACACCTGCCTTCTTCTGCTGCTGGAGTGGTGCACTGAGCGAGGTGAGGAGAGGGGACACACCAGGAACTTACTGCAAACTGGGGCAGGAGTTGAACAGAAGTAGTGGTGTGTAGACGACGTTAGTTGCAGATGGACTTCTCCAAAACAATGTTCTTAATTTCATATCTTTGGCTTGTATGGTGGGAATAATTCAAAGAGTGGTACCTCATAAACATTTGTTTGGCCACTTATGATGACTTAGCTATGAATTTAATGGAACTTGAAATTGGTCACTTGGTTTGATCTGCAACTGTTGTTTGCATCACATCATTGTTTATGCCCAACAGATGCCTACTTTGGACAGGGCCATAGTTTCCATGGCACTGGAGGGAGGGGCAGTAAGAAGGCTCAGATGCGTTACTGTGTGAGGCTGCTGAGATCCATGGCGTCCCTAGGCAACGAAGCAATCAACCAGGACCTCTTTGATCAAGGAGCCATCAGCCAACTGCTTGGTAATGACAGGCGGAACCTCCCGTTTTGGAATATTGCAGCTGTGTTGGATATTTTGATTTTGATTCCAAATGCAAGCTTCACAAAGTCTCATAAAAGGCAATTATCTGAACATCTGTGTTGTCTATAATATTGAGCACAACTTTCTCAGGGATCATTATGCAGATGGAGGGGAGTCCTGAGGAGGAGGATGTTATTACCTTGGAGATCAAGGCTGACATTCAGCTAATCCTGTCAGCACTCTGTGAGAACGATCCACACAGAAAGGTAAAACTAAGATCAGGAACCTTGATCACAACATCATCTTCAAATAGGATATTGGAGAATGATGTGTTACTTACCCTCATAACAGCAGTTAAGAAGCATCAATGCGCTTTGATGTTTTCGCTTTCATTGAATATAAATGGAGACTAAAATGGGTATAACTCCACGCTATTATATGCCTCAGGAATTGTTTGGCTCGGAGGGAGTTGAGATGACGGTGCATTTCCTCAAGATGAGCACTGAGAAGTTCTACAGCGGCCTGGGACACAACAAACTCATCCTCTCCACCGTGGATTGTGTCTGGTCAGTTCACTTACCAATATGTCAGAGTTTCGTTCTTCCATCTGCGACTCTTGTACTGTATGTTCTCATTTGTGGGCTATTTCTTTACTGTAGGTCCTGTATCGTTGGATGCTACACCACAGAAGACGTGTTTTTGGAAAAAGAAGGCATTTTCCTTCTGCTTGACTTGCTTCATGTAAGTACACTATTTGGTGTGGCATCCTTAGGAGTAGCTCAAGCAAGAATTTTCTGCTGCACCATGTTGAATTTCTGAACCCATCTTACCTGCAGTCGAGCCCTAGGAACATGCAGAACGTGGTCCTTGGAACCCTGCTGGAGCTGTGTGACAACCCCAAGACGATGTCTCACATCCTGGCCTGGAGAGGGCAAAAGGGCCTGACCACCTCGGGGCTCCTCTTACAGCTCTGGAGGCAGGAGGAGGCAGAGCTGGGGGTGAGCAGAGACCTCTATGGAAGGATCTCAGGTGAGTCCATGGTATCACTCTCATTAAGTGGGGTTACTGCTGTTAACAGTCACACAATGACAGTGAAATGCTATGCAGTGAGGTCAATACTCTTTGACTAGTACAGTAAATGTTGCCTCTGTTTCATAGGGTGTGTTCGTAAATTCAATCTGGAGTGCCAGAGTGCGCTCAGAGTACGCTCTGGGCGTTCGTAAATTCAGAGCGTTGTCAGATTGTCCGTTCGTAAATTCAGAGCGTTTCGCTCTCAGAGCGTTCAGAGCGCACACTGGACGCTCTGGCCGAGGAGTAGGGTTGATCTGAGCGTTCTGACCTCACAACGGCAGTCAAGCACCTAATTTAACTGGCTAACGTTGGCTAGCTTGCTAGCTACTTCCAGACACAAATGAGAGAACAACCTCACTCTGACCATTTTACTCGTCCTAGCAGAGCTGATTAGGCTGTTTTCATGTTATCCAGAGCGTTGGTGACTGTAACTGTGCTGCTGGCAACAATTTAATTACACTTTCTTTGCCAACGTTTACCTACACCGGCCATATTCAATGGGTGTTGAGCGTTCGTAAATTCATCAGTTATTCTGCATTCTGGCACACTCAGACGAGAGTGCTCTGAAATCGGAGTAGATAGCCAGAGCAAATTTACGAGCGCACCCATAATGGAGTCACAATAACATCCTACTACTAAACTACTAAAGCTAGAACCTTTTTTTTCTTTTTTTTTCTATTTAATGGCTAGATCCCAAGAAGCCTATTCTGTGTTATTACCAAGAGGAGGAGGATGCCCAGGTGTCACTGCCTGCTAACAGGCCTAGTGCTGCAGTGATGGATGTGTCTGAGAACCTTCGCTCCAAGATCTACTCTGTCTTCTGTAAACTTGGTAAAGGACAATTGACTACTATTTTCAAGGAACGGATTACAGCCTGAAATGTTGAAATTATTACAAATTTATGCTTTACAGTAATGTGTGTTTGTGAGTTGATGTTTCCTTCGGTAAAATAAGGCTTCTGATTTCAGGTTTTGAAGCCCTGCCTGGATTGTCAACTGAGGATTATATCACTCTAAGCATTGTCACCAGATATCTGGACTTTAAGGTGACCATTTGTGTCCTCTCTTAGCCTATCCTAGAATGTACACTTATAACAGGTCAGTCACACACAAATAAGCGTGATATGATATCCGTATCAGTTTAAAATGACAAGGAAAAACAGTCAGAAACAGTGTCAAACTGACAAAGACAATAAGAAAAAAATACATGTCAAATAATGAGGAAAAACTGTTAAGCATTTTTGAACGGTAAGCTGTCTCAATAGGTTGGCGAGGTGTGGGATGAGATCTCCAGAGAGTTGAGCCTGGAGGGAGTGAGACCAGTCACACCTGACGAAGAGGCCCTGGATACTATCGCTAAGATGACAGAGGACACAGCCAGGAGAGTCACCACACAGCAGAGCAGCATGCTGGAGCAACAGGACAAGGTGGACGTCAGTGAGGAGAAACACATGTACACAGAGGTGTGTGTGTGTGAGCGTGCACAACATTATAACAGCTGGGGTTAAATGGCCCCAATGTGTGAAAGGGCTCTAAAATAATTACGGTCTGACTAAATTATTATGTTTATTTCTTCATTTCATAGATAAGTTCCAACTGGAAACAGCAGGAGCTTACAGCCCAGTCTTGGGAGCATTTTGTGGCAAAGACATCAAACTACAAGATTTTAAAGGTTAGCCTATATCTGCCTCTAGCTCTTAATCTTTCTTTGAAAGTGATATTTGTAGAGAAGACTTTGTGATTTATTACTTTATCCATTTCTATTTCAGGAGACAAAAGAGCATCAGGAAATATCTATTGACTCTTCCAGACCTAAACCAAAGCATAAGGAAGCAATATTCCATCCTACACACATCCCTGGCTTACAAATTACAGTAAGTCCTTGTGATGCAGATATTATACTGTACTATATTTAAGCAAGGGGGTGTGGTATATGGCTAATATACCACGGCTAAGGGCTGTTCTTATGCACTACGCAACGTGGAGTGCCTGGACACAGCCCATAGCCGTGGTATATTGGCCATATATCACAAACCCCAGAGGTGCCTTAATGATATTATAAACTGTTTACCAACATAATTAGAGCAGTAAAAATAAATGTTTTGTCATACCGATGGTATACGGTCTGATATACCACGGATATCAGCCAATCAGCATTCAGGGCTCGAACCACCCAGTTTATAATGATTATAAACTGGGTGGTCGAGCCCTGAATGCTGATTGGCTAAAAGGCGTGGTATATCAGGGGTATACCACGTGTATGACAAAACAATTATTTTTACTGCTCTAATTACGTTGGTAACCAGTTTATAATAGCATTAAGGCACCTCTGGGGTTTGTGATATATGGCCAATATACCACGGCTATGGGCTTTGTCCTGGCACTCCACGTATATATATACTATATATACTCGTATATATACACGTATATATATACATATATACTCCATGGTATATATGGTCCTCTGTAGCTCAGCTGGTAGAGCACGGCGCTTGTAACGCCAGGGTAGTGGGTTCGATCCCCGGGACCACCCATACACAAAAATGTATGCACGCATGACTGTAAGTCGCTTTGGATAAAAGCGTCTGCTAAATGGCATATTATTATTATTATAATAGCATTAAGGCACCTCGGGGGCATGTGTGTGTTGTTTCAGAAATTCTGTGGGCGTGTGATGACTGTGGAGAGCACTCCAGCCCACCTGACGGGAGGGCCCCTGGCCAACACAGAGCTGGCCCTGGAGAGGGTGTCCATCCAGGGTGGAGCCCTGAGGAAACTCCCCCCTGCCACTGAGGACCCAGAGTATTTCAACACCGTTTCAGTCAAATAAATACTCCACGTCCTCTTATAGCTTTGCTCAGTGTTTGTTTACTTTTTACTACAGGTCTCCATATACAATTTGGTGTGTTAGCTTGAGAGTGAAAATAAAGAAAATAATTCATCAATCCAGCATGAACAATCAAAATTAGACTACTAGTATCTACTAGGAACAGGTATTAATGGATGGATTAAACAGATTTGAAATAATTAAAATTGTGCCGTAACTGAATTTTGTCATTGTGTTTATGACTGATTTTTTGTGTGGAATTTATCAATATTTAAATAGTGATGTAGCAATCGACTGGATTCACAATCATTTGTGAGAACATCGCCTCATTGTGACCTTCAGTGCAGAAGGTGTTTCATTTGTGATGTCAGAGATACATTTTATGATGAAGATTCTACTTTAGTGTCTGCATACATAACCTGCTAATTTATTATAATAATAATCTATTTCTTTTATATAGCGCTTTTCTTTATACAGATAATCTCAAAGATGCTTAAAAACCAAAGTGCATGTAGTTCTTGAACCATTTACTGTGGTTGTGTGCTTATATTTCTGTGAATATTTGGATAAGTAATTTCCTATTAGATATTTGAAGAATATAAGTAAAATATTTCAGTATAAATTACAGCCTGCCATCCTGTTATTGTTGAAGGTTATTCATTGGTGGTAAGTAAATGTCCATATTTTTGTGTTTTCAGTTACAAACCTAGCTTTCTTACCTTGACTTAAATTACATTTGAGAGACATCAGATAGTCTTTGCCTATCAGTTTCTTTTAATTTACTTTATTATATTTTGCAGTCATCATTACTCAAGTCTAACAGGAAAGAAAACTGATTCTGTAAAGAGCCTGCAGAAAACTGTTCACTGAAGGTTTGTGTCTCTGTTTTACTATAAATGTATTGCCCTAAATAATTCTCACTTTAGGACCAAATAATTAGTTTATAATTGTTTTATGGTTCTGTGGGCCATTTGGTGCTCACGTGTTTTGTGATGGTATAAACTATTTTGTGATGCAATTAGCAGTTTGTTACCAGCATCTGCTGGACCAATATGTTACCAGCATCTGCTTTTGACAATCATGTTTCAGTTTACTGAGTGTGCAGACTGACGAATGAAGTCATTTAGGAGGCCACAATCAACAATCTGTAGTCTATCTTCCCCTCCCCCACCGAATTGACTGGCTTTTGTGGCCAAACTGAACGTGACAAAACACATGTTTGTATTCTGCAGACTGTGGACAAAGACCCACATGAAACAAGGCAACTAGTGTGTCAAGTTGGGGAAGATGGCACTTTCCTGCTTTTCTTTGGTTTGAAAATATTGTTTCCATAAAGGAAATGTCTTTGGTTGTGCTGTGGTCAGGCAACTAGTTATGGATGTGTTGGATGAAGATTTTTAAAAATCCACATAATGGAAGGTTATAGACCCCTTTCCAGTACACAACACTCTGACATCACGCACAGATGCGCGTGACTCTTCGTGGCAGTAAGAAAGCCATCGCCATCTGCGCCCATTCAACATAGCCTAGATTCACGTTTTCATTACTTCTAAACAAAATAACTTTTGGGGGTTCTCATCTGCTTACAATGATGTTTTGATTCTTGCTTGAACAGTCGCAAAGATTATATTTGTGTGTGATCTTTGCAAAATAACTATTTTGGATGCAGTAGTTGTTAGCTAGAATGCTAACGCTCATTGATATAGGCTTTAGCAAAAGCCAAAGAGCCATTTTACTGGTTGAAGTGTTTAAAAAATATATATAATGCAGTTGATTTGCGATGATGACACAAACATTATATTAAGCAGGACATTTACACGAGCCTTAAAATCCAATTATAATCCAAAAGTAGTGTGAAATGCACTCATAAGCAACATGTAAATAGAGGCTTTTTTTGGTGGAGTTCTATTTGTTCTAGCACAGGGGTGTCAAACGTAGGGCCCGCGGGCCGGATGAGGCCCGCAAACGGGTTTAATCCGGCCCGCGAGATGATTTCGAAAAAAGAAAAAAAAAAAACTTTTTTTTTGTTTGTTTGTTTGTTGTAAAGTATAAAAATGCGCTGCAATTTTTCAATAAAATAAACTGCTGTTCCAATTGCGTCCACTGGATAGCAATTGTGTTAAGCAAGCAAACTGTTTATACCGGGGCAGAGCAAGTAGATCAAGCACGTGCAGCCAATGAGCTACTTTGTTTTGCCCGCGATATTTATTACGGCTTCTAGTTTTAACATTATGTGCTTTGGCACCCTCATTGCCCCAATATGTCTCTGTCAAAAAAGAGAAAAGTGGACGCAGAGTGCAGAGTGTTCCAAGAAAAATGGTCATCCTATTTATTCACGGAATTGAATGGGAAAGCTGTATGTTTGGTGTGTTCAGAGCATGTTGCAGTGCTGAAAGAATATAACCTTCGTCGCCACTATGTGAGTCTTCATGCCGACAAATATGACAATTTTCAAGGACAGCGGAGATGAGAGAAGGTGAATGAACTGTTGGCGGGTCTGAAGAAACAGCAGTCTGTGTTTACTCACAGCCGAGACATCAGTGACGCTGCAGTGAAAGCTAGCTACCTCATTGCTAATGAAATCGCAGTGGCTTCAAAACCATTTAGTGAGGGTGAATTTGTAAAAACATGCATGATGTAGGCAGTGGAGATTGTGTGCCCTGAAAAGCGGCAGGCTTTTGCAAATATCAGCCTGACAAGAAACACAGTTGCAGACAGGATTTCCGATCTTTCAGTGGATTTGGACAGCCAGTTGAAGCAAAAAGTAAAGTCATTTATTGCGTTTTCGGTTGCAATTGATGAAAGCACGGACATTACAGATGTTGCACAACTGGCCATTTTCATCCGCGGAGTTGATGACACATTGACCGTCACCGAGGAGTTCGTGGAGTTGGTGCCGATGACAGATACAACGACAGCAGCTGATATTTTTACCGCACTCGTCGGCGCGCTGGACAGGGTCGGAGTGGACTGGTCCCGCGCTGTCAGCCTGGCTACAGATGGTGCGCCCTCAATGATCGGGAAAAAAGCAGGCGTTGTGACAAAGTTCAGAGAGAAAGTGCAATCTGCAAATGGAGGACGTGATTTTTTGACTTTTCACTGTATTTTGCACGAGGAGGCTTTGTGTTGCAAGTCATTAAAGATGGATAACGTCATGAAGGTGGTCATCCAAACTGTTAATTTAATCCGATCCAGAAGCCTGAATCCCCGTCAGTTTGACAGCCTTCTCAGAGAGAAAGACCACATCTATGGCCTGCCATACCACACTGAGGTAAGATGGTTAAGCCGAGGTGCTGTGCTGAGGCGTTTCTTTGATTTACGAGAAGAAATTGAACAGTTCATGGAAGAAAAGGGCAAACCAGTGTTAGAATTTCATTCCGCAGAATGGATGCAGGACCTTGCATTTATGGTGGATGTTACAGAGCACCTGAATAACTTGAACAAACAGCTGCAAGGGCGCAACAAAGTTGTCACGCAGTATTATGACAGCATACGTTCTTTCAAGTTGAAGCTGTCATTGTGGGAGACGCAACTTGCCGGTGGTGATGCAGCTCACTTCCCCTGTCTGAAAAATGTGTGCGCGACCCAACATGTGGCAGACATGAAGCGGTTCAAAGATAAAATAACGGGACTGTTACGGGAGTTTGAGCAACGCTTTCAGATTTATGTTTATATGTTTTTATGTTGATGTGCTATTGTTTTTAATTGATTTTATTTTATTTGTATATTTAACCTATTCTTGACTCTGTGATTCTTGCATTTGTTTGGGGAACAGGATTTCATTATTTTTATCTACATTTCTGCCTGAGAAATGACACCCTGATATAGTTCTGTGATCTGTGATATACTTCTGTGAATCACTGAGGCATTGTGTGTTTGTGTGTTCTTTGTCCTCAGAACTTTCAAATAACTTGAGGTGTTTTATGATTAATAGTGATGTTGTGCTTTTGGACACTGTCCTCAGGCTCCAGCTTTATGTTTATATGTTTTTATGTTGATGTGCTATTGTTTTTAATTGATTTTATTTTATTTGTATATTTAACCTATTCTTGACTCTGTGGTTCTTGCACTTGTTTGGGGAACAGGATTTCATTATTTTTTATCTACATTTCTGCCTGAGAAATGACACCCTGATATAGTTCTGTGATCTGTGAAACAGTTCTGTTAATCACTGAGGCATTGTGTGTTTGTGTGTTCTTTTTCTTTAGAATTTTCAAATAAACTTGACGTGTTTTATGATTAATAGTGATGTTGTGCTTGTACTATTTTGGACACACTGTCCTCAGGCTCCAGCTTTATGTTGTATGTTGATCGTATTAAAACAAAGAAAACAATCTGAAGTTGTTTTTTTAAAGTTATATATACCATGATTTTTCCGGTCCGGCCCACTTGGGAATAGATTTTCCTCCATGTGGCCCCTGAGCTAAAATGAGTTTGACACCCCTGTTCTAGCACCAACTTGCGCACATCACCCTCTTGCAGCAATGTAAGCAAACACAGAAAGGGGTCTATGCTTTATAAATGTCACACCCTGGTTCTGGGACTCGTTATGTTGAGCCAGGGTGTGTGCATTCTATGTGTTTAATTCAATGTTGGTAGTTCTGTTGTGTCTATTTCTAGGTTGTTGTATGTTTGTATTGAGTGACTCCCGATCGGAGGTAACGAGTGTCAGCTGTCGGCTCGTTATCTCTGATTGGGAGCCATATTTATACTGTGTGTTTTCACCTTGGGGTTGTGGGTTTTTGTTCCGTGACGGTATGTTTAACCGTGAACTTCACGAATCGTGTTTTGTTTATATTTAGGAACTTTAATTAAAGTCATGTTTATTTCACACGCTGCGCCTTGGTCTACTACTCCTTACCCAGACGATCGTGACAGAAAAACCCACCATCAAAGGACCAAGCAGCGTGTCCAGGAGTCGGCAGCCTGGATGTGGGAGCAGCGTCGGAGGGACGAGAGGCACCCCCAAGAAATTTTTAGGGGGGGGCACAGGGCATGGACGA